AAAAAAAAAAAAAAAAAAAAAAAAAAAAAAAAGAAAACCTCAGATTTTCCTTTAAATTAACATACCATCAGAATCCCACTGATCACTTATTTCATGAGAAATCTCGAACCTGTCCACTGAGCCAGAACTGTGGAACTTTCCCAGCCAGGACAGGAACAATTAAAACATTTTAGATGTCATCGTTAACCATGGGACACGGGGCCTTCAAGAACTGCCTTCCCCATGGAAGCGGCCAGCGGGTCAGAGCTCAGTGAGCTGGTGATACACCTAGGGCAGCTGCAAAGGTTTTCCTGTTCCCTTTATAAAGCTGAAAAACATTGGCCCGGGGTGTATCCAGCCATGCATACCTCTTTCCACTTCGCACTCGGGGGAGGATGCCCCGCTGCATTCGCTTCGGGGACCGAGGACAGGAAAGATCATCCCAAACTCAGAGAGGGATACAGAGCTGGGCAGATCCAGGCTTCCAGGTCGCGTCGCAGGAGGAAACTGAGTGGACACCTCACAGGGGCTCGTAGGGCCGGAGCTGAAGCTGGACACTGACTGAGTTTCCGAATCTTCGGATACAAAGCTGCTGCCGTTGTCATCCTCAAACACTTCTGAAGCCACTGTAATGTTTGAAGAACATCCCATTAGCAAACCTATCCCCCTCGGGTGCCTTCCTGGGCAACGGCAGTGTCTCAGGTTTGTGTCTCCTGTACGTGCATGTCCTGCCAACCCAGAAGCTGCCTCTTCTCGTACTCTGCCCCTTTGCAAAGCCTGAACCCAGCATTTCATAGGTGGAACATGAAGGCCCGATTCTGCTTTGAGGACCAGCACACCTGCCAGCTGTGTCCTGCAAGACCAGCTCTACGCTAGCTATTGCTCCTCATGCCAAGACACTCTTGGATTTTTACTGCTACCCCCTGCCCAGCTGACCTTGTTCCCTTGACTTCAGCACGTAACTTGGGCCAGGGCCTAGTCCCCTGTGCCCGCTTTAGCTAGCAACATCTCAATCCCAGCACAGACTCCTGCTTATTTAAGGCTCTAATTAGAAGGCAGATTGCTTTCACCCTATCTTCCCACTTTTGCAGTTAAAATCCAGCATGAACTTCTAAGATCCCTTTTTGGATGAGGATCACTAAGCAACACCAAATTAAAAAAAACCCCACCCACATGTATCATTTTCCCTGCTCATGTTTGCTCAGATCTGAATTATAATTAAAGCAAACCAACTCCAAAGTGTCTGGCTACATTTAGTAGCAGGCTCTTTGTTAGCAACAGGAAGAGGAATCCATCAAAGAAGGTTCCATTTTGTGCAACACAGGGGTGTAGATTTTGCTAAAATTCAACATTTTTCAATCTTGGCTCATTGCAGGATGGGAACCTATGAACCAAAGATTTCTGCAGACTAGTAGGCTCACTGGGATCAGAAAGCTTTTTACATGCATCAGTCTCTGCACCACAAAAGTGTGTGCTGGAGCCACACTAGTCTGAAGAAGTCCCACAAATAGCAAGACATTTACAGTGACCTGAGGTAATCTTCAATTACGCCTCCTTGCAATTCCTGCCATTGTTAGAGAGGCTCAGAACTGCCTTGAAAGAGCGGCAGGAGCCAAGCAGCAATGTTAATGAAATGGCTCAAAGGAGAAGTTTCAAAGTAGTCCTTCCATTACCCTGGCAGCCTGGGGCTCACGTGCACCGCTCAGACACGAAGGGTGCCAACAGAGGCAGCTACCGGCATGGTTACTGCAGAGATGTTCAGCCTCTTCCTGCTGTATTTGCAGACTGCAGAACAGTACCTACACATTGCAGAACTGACCTAAAAGGCTTCAAACAGAAAATGGATAACAGCATCATCCACCTTCCTTAGCCCCCTCTCAGACACGTTTTTACTCAGAGTCTCTCAGCTTGTTGTGATTTGGGTTTTGTTGTTTTGTTTTTAATAATGTCAAACCCAAGACTGTAGAGGGGTCTTTCTTCTCACACATTGTGTTTTATTAATATATGGTGAGCAATATCAATAGTATGGTGAGATAACTTTGCAGAGGGTGAAAGCAAAAAACAGTTGGGCAAAACAAGATGTTTCCAGTTACAGGAGCCCTCTGCTTGGCAAGAGGCACTGACACCAGCTAGTCTACAACAAGCACGACTTAAACCATAGCTTATTTATCTCAATCTAAACTTACCATACTGTGAGACACGATTTATAACTCCTTGAAACAAGGACTGAGAAGAACAGCCTGAGAAAGAGAGGATAATGGAGGGGAGTGGAGGCCCTCCAAGCCAAGGAATGTCTCAAACACTCTCAAGTAACAAAACTACAGTCACAGGACAGATAGGGTGGAGTCTGGAGCTGATCAGGCTGCCTGGGTAGCACAGGGTGCAGCTGGAGGGGGGAGCCTGTGGAGGCAGGACAGTTCTGCTCTGGTGCATCCTCTAATTTCAAGGCCCATCTGTCCCATGAATGAACTTTGCTTCATTAACCATGAAATGAATATTAAAGTTGACATCCCTGCATATGCTAATGAAGATTAACAAGATCATGCTAATTACATCATCCCATGAAACACCTTGACCCTCCCCATACATGGGATACGTAGTAAGGTGGATCAACCTAAGGAAGGGACACAAGGAAAGTGTGTATAAACTGGGGGGGGG